TCATTTAAACATCACACTGCAAAACAAGAAAAAAATGAAATCATGTCAAATTAAAACCTTCTTGGCTTTATCAGCCAGTAGCACACCACAAACACCATGAACAGTCCTAAAACCTCATGAAATTTTAGTACAAGCTGTGGCAAAACAAGGCTTCCTTTTCTTGGATCTCTGAAAGATGTACAGACTGGACAACCATTGTGATGGCTAATCTTGGTTGTCAACTTTGTACACCTGAGAAGGGGGAACCTCCATTGAGGAATCACTTCCATCACATTGGCCGGGAAGCATGTTTGTGAGATATTTTCTGGATTTCTGATTGATGGAGGAAGCATGTTGGCCCTAGCTGTGGGCACTGTCATCTCTAGGTAAGTGAGCATCAGATGATGAGAAAAGTAGCAGAAGGGCTGGAGAAGTGGCTCAGCTGCTAAGAGCACTATCTGCTCTTGTAGAGGTTCTGGGGTTGAGGTTCCTAGCAACCACATGGCAGCTCAAAACCACCTGTGATTCAAGTCTAGTGGATCCAGTTGTCTCCCTCTGACTTCCGTGGGCACCAGTCATGTGTGTGCACAAACATACATACAGGTAAAACATTCATTCACATGAAATAAATAAATCTAAGGGGAATAAGGAAGGAAGAAAAGAAAAAAGAAGGAAAGAAGGAAGGACTATAGGTAGCAGAACATGAGCCTGGGAGTGAGCTAGTTAGCAGCTCTCCTCCATGATTTTTGCTTCAGTTCCTGCCTCCAAGTTCCTGCTTCTATCTATGACAGATTATAACTGAAATCAACCATTTCCTCCACCAAGTTGTTTTTGGTCAGTGTTTTATATCAGAAAAACAGAGAAGCAAACTAGGACAAGCACAATGCCTAGCTGTTAGAACTGTGTAGAAGTAGGAAGTGGATGAAGATCTGTGTTTATAGAAAAGAAATAATTTTTGTCAGCTTGGTGACATCTGTTATCAAATCACTGATTTCCAGCTAGGTTCACATTTGTATGCATTTTGGTAGTGTGTTGGATTATGAGTCAATAAGGCAATGATGGTTAGAAAGTACTGGACATGAGAATAGTTAGACCCATCTTTCTTTCTTTCTTTCTTTCTTTCTTTCTTTCTTTCTTTCTTTCTGGGGGGACAGTGTTTCTCTGTGTAGCCTTGCCTATCCTGGACTCACTTTTGTAGACCACTTTGGCCTCAAACTCACAGAGAACAGCCTACCTCTGCCTCCCTGAGTGTTGGGATTACAGGCATGCACCACTGTGCCCCACTAGACCCATATTTCTCTTTTTTTGTTTTTTTATTATTTATTATTATTAGTTATATTTTATTAATTCTATATCCCAGCTGTATCCCACTCCCTTATTCCCTCCCAATCCCACCCTCCCTCCCTCAGCTTCTCCCTGCCCCTTTCTAGGTCCACGGATTGGAGAGGACCTCCTCTCCTTTTGTCTGGCCCTGTTTTATCAGGTATCTTCAGGGCTGGCTGCAAAGTCCTCCTCTGTGACCTAGCAGGACTGCTCCTCCCTTGGGGGGTGGGGAGGTCAAAGAGCCTGCCATTGAGTTCCTGTCAGAGATAGTCCCTGTTCCTCTTACTATGGGAAACCAATTGGTTATTGAGCTACCACAAGCTTCGTCCGAGTAAAGGTTCTAGGTTATATCCATACATGATCCTTGGTTGGAGAAACAGTTTCAGAAAAAAACCCTGTGCACAGATATATTTGGTCCTTGTGGGGCTCCTATCCTTTCCCCATCATACTAACTCCAGCAAAAGATCATTCTGAGTGCAGTATCCCAAAAGAAGAAAGACAAACATGGTATATACTCGCTTATATAGACCTACAAGATATGATAAACATAATGAAGTCTATACACCTAAAGAAGATAAACAAGAAAGCAGACACGAGGTAAGATGATCAATCCTTACTTAGAAAGACAAATGAGATGTGCATTGGACGTATGACAGGAGTCTTCCGCAGAAGGCATCTGAAAGACCCTACCAAGCAGTGTTTCAAAACAGATACTAAGACTCATAACCAAACCTTCGGTAGACCCATATTTCTTATGTGTGAAGAAGTAATTAAAGCATCAGCTAAGTGCATGTATGAAATGCCACCAGCTCTGGGATATTGGGAGTAACAGATTAAAACTTTTGGAGAAAACATTATACCACACATTCTTACTTAAATTTTATTTATTTATTTATTTTTAATTTTATTTTTCTTTTTAGTTACATTTTGTTAACTCTGTGTCCCAGCTGTATCCCGCTCCCTCATTCCCTCCCCAACCCCACACTCCCTCCTTTGTCTTCTCCCTGCCCCTTTCCAAGTCCACTGATTGAAGCAAAAAGATAAGCACATTTCAGTCTTATGAAATATTACAGATTTTTTTAAATGTACAAAAGAAGAGTTAATTATTAATTTTCTTGAACCAGTGATAAATCTTCTGAGATTAGACATTGGAATGATTTCAACTTAAAGAGCTTTGTATTAATGGAAGCACCTAAATGTTTGATATAATTAAGATAATAAAGTTTTGTATTAGTAGAAACAAATATTTGATATAATTTATGAGAGTGTTGTATATAGAAATTTTCTATGTCATTAGGAGTGGAGTTTTTAAAACTTGAAGTTTTAACAATATGTAGTAATTTGGTTTTTTATTATTATTTGATTGAAAATTAGAAAAGTCTGAGAGAAAACTGGAGAAAATAGGCAATACTCAATTATCTATTTGTAGGAAACCACTTTAGTAGTTAGTGGCTTAAAATAACATTTCCAGTTTCTGATCACAATGGTGGTTGGTTCATCTCCTGGCTTCTCTGGGGTGTCCCACATGGCTAGCAGGGTAGAGGTTGAGGCTGGGAGAGTTGTTGTTTGTGCATGTCTCAGTTTTCCCTTATGTGGCCTCCCTACTTGGGTAGCTCAGGGTGCCTCTTCATATGGCTCTCACAAGAAAGCTCCTTCCAAACTAGAATATTACCAAGTGGATGGCACTAGGGAACCAAAGACATAAAAACAGAAATTTAAGAAAACAGAGAAGCCACCAATCCAGTAGCTTTAAAAAGTTAAACATATCCAGTCACTAAAATGAGACCAAGGAAGACAAGCCAATGGAGGAGTCTGGATCTCTGCAGCCAGGGGTCTGGAAATGTGTCTGGGGATACTTTAGGGTTGATGGATTAGCAATCAGAAAGAACTAGAAATGGCATAGAGCAGAATGAAGACCTACCAGCTAGAACCTACCAGCACCCTGACTGCCATCCACTACTAACCTCCATATCACTGCTAAAACACAGCACAGTAGGTACTTTAAAATAGTCATTTTTTTTGTAATGGAATGATAATATGATTTTAAACTAGACATGTACTGATTATAAGAACAATTCTTAAAACATTATACACACATACATTTATTCATTTTATATTTTATATGTATTTTATTTTAAAGGTGTTGAGAAACATTTTGTGTTATTTTAATAAGTAACAAAGCAAGAAAGTCTTGTTTTTGGATTTGTATATGTGTTATTTCTGTTTGAAAATTGTATTGTTGGACTGGGCTCAGCAGTTAAGAGCACTGGTTGCTCTTTGAGATCACACAGGTTAAATTCCCAGTACCTACCAAGCAGCTTAAAACTGTCTGTGAGCAGTTCTGGGGTATCCAAAACCCTCTTCTAACCTCTTTCGGCAACAGGCACACATGTAGTGCAGACATACACATAAGCAAGATAGATAGATAGATAGATAGATAGATAAATAGATAGATAGATAGATAGATTTTTAAAATTATATTGCTACGGAAGAGTTAGAAAAATCGTAAAAGCCAGAGGTGGGGGGTGACTCCAAGGATACAACAGGGCTGATGTACGTATGAACTCACAGAAACTATGACAGCATTCATGTGACCTGTGTAAGTTCAAACTGGACAAATTCCAACCTGAAAAAAGGGGAAAGTGGGTTCAAAGTCTCACCACTAACCATGAATCTTTTTGCAATTGATAGCCCCTGAGAGAAAGAAAATCAGTTTTCTTCAATGGAGTGATGCTGGGTATATCAACTACACTCCAGGCTAAGCCCCATGTTCCGGATTAGTTAGGCAATACAAAACAGACTCCATGTTTATTTGTTGCATGTATGTGGGAGGGGGCATGTGTATGCATGTGTGTGTATGCATGTACCCATCCATATGCCTTTTTGGGGGAGGGGCAGTTTGAAGTTTTTAAGAGAAAGAATGAATGTGAAATTGTATAGATAAGGAGAAGGTAAAGTATGGGGGAAGAGAAAGATGACCAAAATATATTGTATGAAAAAAATTTAAAAAGAAAAGATAATAAAATTACAAAAAGATTTTATTAATGAGAAATAAGTAAGTTCCATCAGCTGGTTCATTGTGAAGCTGTTTCTGTTAAAGAAAACCATAACTTTGGGTCTGAGGAGACCGCTCAGTGAGTGAATTGCCTGATTAACAGGAATTAGGACTTGAGTCTGGTTCCCTAGGACCCATGTAAAAGGCTGAGTGTGATAGCACACATCTGTGACCCTACATGTGAGCTAAGTCAAGACAGGTAGATTCCTGGAGTGTGCTGGCTAGTCAGTCTAGGCAAAGAGTGAGTTCTAGTTTCAGTAAGAGACCCCGTTTCCAAAAGTAAGGTGGAGAGTTATTGAGGAAAAAACTTGACAAAAACTTCTGACCTCCACACACATACATATGCAGATGGATCTGCAGGCACACACATACACACACAAAAAACAAGAAAGACTTGAACTTCAATTTTCCTTCTTTAATTGACAGATGTTGATATATTGGCAGCTTGGACTTACCGCTGAATTCCAGTCGATAAACATCCTAAGGAATAAACATTACCATATCAAGGATTGCAGAGGTTATGTTTCTGAAATTTGTCCTTGGTAACACCATCCACTTAACTTGTATGTTAACGAAAGCTTGTTTCCAATTTGACATTTAAAAACAAACCTGTTCACTGTTTGATACGTTCTTTGATGACTTTAAGATATCAAAAGAAGCCATTTTGTCTTAATTGCTGAGGAACAACTAAGAGAGCCAGTTGTCCAACGTGGTAAGTCCAAAATGATGATGACTTTCCTGCCTGACTTTCTTTTCCTTTGATAGTATATACATGTATGTTTGGATATAGATAGATATATACATACATATGTATGTATTAGGAGCAGAATTAGAAGCAGGATACATATATATGTGTATATATTAGGAATAGAATACTTCACAAATGAATAACTTCCAGTTGCTTCTTACAACCATATATCTATTGTAATAAAACATTATTTGACATTGCATTTATTAATTACAAAATAAATGACATTCTTCTTGATTAGATATCATTTTCAGGTACTATTATAGGCAATATAATCTATACATAGTGAGAGAACAAAATTATTATGCTTTAAAAGATGAAAAGACATAATAGATATGTTTAAGTGCAATGGATGAGTATGATTGATGTAGGCATTAACATTTTAAATGATGTAAGAGTAAAAACACTAAAGGGTTTTATAGTAAAATCAATAGTTTCAGTATCTCCATAACTACAGTTATAACATCTTAGTATTTTAAGCATCAGAACAACTAACCCACAGTTCTGTCCTTTGTGTAATGGATTAGGACAGTCTTGGATCCACTGTTACTTTGCTTAAATGATCTTAGATCTATCTGTGGGAAGAATAAAAACTTTTTGATTTTGTCAAAAGGGATTTTAACTTGAAGAAAAAAGACTTTGTTGTCTACTAGGGGTTTGAATATCATTTAACCAAAATAACAGTGGTTTCAAGACAGTCTTAGTGTGTTTTCTGTTGCTATAACAGAATACATGAGACTGAGTAACTTATAAAGACAAAAGATTTATTTTGGCCAACATTGATAGAAGCTTGGAAGTCCAACAACATGACACCATCAAGAGCCTGATGTTGTCTGAATTCTTGATGGAAAGTATGGAAAGGTGAATGGGTTTATGGTGGACAAACAAAACTTGAGGGACAGATATGCTTGATAACAATCTGCTGCTGTGTTAATACACTCAGTCCCATAAGAGTAAGACTTCATCCACTGGAATCATGATCTGATTACATTTTAATGGTCCTAACTCCCAATACTGCCCAAGGACAATCAGATTTCAATATGAATTGTGGAGGGGAAAATCAATATTCAAATAATAACCAACACAGCCTTTATAAGTCTATTATATTTTCATTGAAAAGTATGAGCCTTTTAAGAATACTTCTTTGAAAATTTCTATAATGGTTTAAACCATTGTTTGTTTAATTAAAAATGAATTGCAGAGGCAGGGAGGAGGAGGCTGGAAAGAATGCTCAGCAGTATATCCTGCACTTGCAGAGGACTCAAGCTTACTTCCCAGGTCCAGAAGATCTAATGCCCTCCTCTGCCCTCCCTGGGCATCTACATAGGCATGCACACATACACAAGCACACACACTTACTTAAAATAAATATTTCTTGAAGAAAAGGAAATGGAGTTAATTGTCATATGGAAGAGATAGTGCTGTAGTTGAGGGCAGAAAATGCTGTCATAGGTACCCTGTCACTGCAACTGTTTGGATCTTGATATTCTTATCTCATTGGCATTTGATTAAATGAGAAAAACTTAAATGCACCTAGAACCTGACCTATCATTTAAATCTTTCCCTACAAAACATACAGTGCAGCTCACTAATTATTAATTAAACATGACTTTAGATCTCATCATATTTCATTACTTGTCATGAATTCCCAAGCATAAACAATGATCTCAGATAAGCCCCAGCTAGTCATACATTTAAATAACACTGAATATTTGGAAAGTATTTTTTGTTCTAGCAGTAATTTATGTGGAATATTAAATCTTATTTTCCCAGCTTGTGACAGCTCATGTTAATTTTTTTATGTTTCACATTTTCACTCCCAAGATTTATAGCCCCTACTTCCTTTTGTCATGTCTGAATAAAATTGTTCTTCTGCAAAGAAAACTATAATCAAATGGAGTAGGGTCATTATCTAGTCGTAGACTGGAATTTGTTTAGGAAAAGTGTATTTGGCATGAAAACCTTTTATGTTAGGCCTTTTCCTCCATAGCAGTTAAGAGAAACAAGAGTCCAGTTGAACAAAGATGACAAAGCAAAATTTTAGGTATTGTGTGTATAAACCCCCTTCCAGTGTCTCTGAGGCATGGGGACATTGGGTATGCTTGTAAACACAAGGTCACATTAGTCAGACAAAATATATTCCTCTTGAACTGTCAGTTACTGAGAGGGAAAGCAGTTTGTTTGGTTAGTCTAATTTGTTTTTCATTTTTTTAAAGTTTTATTTACTTTTGAATGTTTAAAGGCAGTCATGAACATCTTAAGTCTTTTGGAGACTGGCTGTGTTTTCATGAATTAACAGTCTACTCCTCTTGTCATTGAGTGCTCTTAATGATGACATTAGGCATAGATGTCACAGCATGTTGGAATAGAAAACAATCCTAACTCTGATGGAGTTATGCTCCTACAAATGAGAAAATAATGTGAAGATTTTCTCAACATATATATTCATGCATTTACTGTATACTAAGTATTGGTCAGAGTGTTTTGCAAGGGTCATTTAATCTACAAAATGACCTTGGAAACCTGACTGGGACGATAACGGAATGAAGAAGAGACAGACACACAAACATATATACAGAAAGCTGGGATCAGGTGGCCTGCATTTGATCTGGTGGAGTGCTAACTACTGTGTTACAACCCAGAACCTCAGCATGTTCAGTATGTGCTCACAGAGGAGTTGGTGGTCTCTGTGGGAGGTCTCTGTAGGGGAGTAATCTGAGGTTGTGGTCATCCAGGATGAGGAAGCTGTGGTTGTCAGTTTTTGCATACCCTGCCAATGTCCTCACAAATACCAGAGGAAGGCTTGCCAATTTCCTGAGCCTGACTTGAGGAAGGTTTTGCCAACTCCCATGAACTAGAGACATTGCTTCTTGTCAATAATACACATTCATTCAAGGCTTCCTCTGTTCTACATAACTTCTTAGGTGACCCAAGGACAGTTTCTAAAACTGAGAAACATGGTATGGTGTCCAAAATAAGATATAGATTTGTACTACGGTAAAACAATTGGGCCATAAGAGTGGTGAGGCTCTGCCTGGAGAAACTAGGAGAATTATGTGTAGCAAGTGAACCCTTGACCCAGTATTTGATCTGTTCGACCCGTAAAATCTAAAGTGTACTTTCCCTAACCCTTTGCTTAAAAAAATTGGTTGACCCTATGAAATATTTTTTTTAAAAAAAAAAAATGCTTCTTACCTTGAAATTTATTAGTAAAATTTTTTAAAGCCATGGCCCTGCCGGTCCCTGGCAAGAGGGTGGTCACACCAGAATGATGTATGTTTTTGGAATGGTGGGTGACTGAGAAATTATATAAAAATGAAAGATAAAACACTACATGCATAAAAAGAAAAGTTTACAGAAAGACAAAAATACCTTTAATTGCAAGCACATGATAGTGACTCATGACAGGAAGAAGAAACTTGCCAAACTTAAAAACTAGACCTAATCTGTGGTTCCTATGGGGTACATGGAGGTATCTTCTGGAGAACCGCAAAGAAAATGTTACAAGTTTTTTTTTTTTTTTTTTTTTTTTTTTTTGGCAGCAATTAAACCTCCTGTTTATTGTCAGGAAAATGATGTTAGTTTTCAAAACAGACTTAGAGTCATCCCAGAAAGCCATAGCCTCATCCACTGCTTAGACAGATACCAAAACTATGCTACAAGCTATCTAATTTATTATATCAGGCTGGTTCAGTTCCTGACATCAGTTCATGTTGTACAAATAACAACTACAAAGAATGTGATAAATAAAGGGATCGTCATTGTTGGTGAGGAACCTGCAGTGGACTCAGTGGTGAGGCTGAATGGTGTGTTTAAGTTCGGTCTGAATGAAAACTTATAACCATATACAGTCCTAGCACAAAACTCAAATGCTGGTTCTATAGGACTGAAGGCTGTGAAAAGGGACTATTGCTGCCCAGCTACTCCTAGATTGCGAAGAGCTATAGGACTACTTGCCACTTCCAATGGTAGAACATGTTATCACCCAGAACTTTGTGAATGTCTCTTTCTGCCCTAGGTCCAATTGTGATGAATACCAATGAAGAAATTTCTGAAGTCATTTTTGATTTCAGGAATGAAAAATAAAAGGTTTTGAAGGGGCCAAAACCTGGAAGTCAAAGATGGGAAACCAATGAATAGCTGAAATTCTATCACTTGGATGGTCTGACCATTCAATATATTCAGTTTCCAAAACTGGGTTAGCTGGTGCTTCTAAAGAATTCCACATTAAGCCAGGTGCATGTCTTTAATCCCAGCACTCTAGGAGTCAGAGACATGAGGATCTCTAAGTTTAAAAGTCAGCCTTGTCTGCAAAATGAGTTCTAAGACAGCCAGGGCTACACAGTGAAACCCTGTCTTGAAAACCCAAAAATATAAAATAAAAATGAAAAAGGAATTCCACGTTAAAACAAAAAGATGGTTTTGTAGTGAGCCTTCAGAATGCATTATATACATGCATGAAATTGTCAGAGAATAGGTTTAACTAATTTAAAAAGGAAAAATACAAGCAACGAAAAGTGTCACTAATACATGTAAGATATTTCTTGATACATGTAAATAATTCTAAATGTTGCTTTTTAAAAAAAATAACGTTCTTCATTTTCATGGGAATTATTAAGCTCCTATTAAAATAATTGCTTATCTACATGTGTTTTTTTTTTATATATGAGTAGATAAGTTTTTATTCTATGCTCTTTGGGATTTTCTTAAGCCATTTTTGTTGCTGCTGTTGCTTTCTGTGTCACTGGCAGCAGTTATTTAAGCACCTAAAGTTCCCTCTTAAGATGTCCTACTGCAATCCAGCTGCCTTCCCAGCCCTCAGAACTGTGCTCTGGGTTTCAAGTTACAGATTATCTGCTTTAAAAAGCACAGCAGTCCTGACCACGTGACTCAGCTTTTAAAACTGCCCTGCTACTGCGAGGGACACAGCAGGATTCCAGCCAAGACTTCCCAGGATTTTCTGCCAAACTCTGTGTCAGATTTAAGACCATGTTCCTTCAAGCTTCCTTGAAGGTTGTGAAAAGTTTGAATCCATAGTTGAGTTCCAGCCTGCTATAGCTCCAAGTGCGTGTGGTCACACCACCTCCTTATAAAGCAGCTAGAACCTAGGGCATAGGATGGAGATTTTTTTTTCAGCTTCCTGGACATGAAATGACTGTACAGTGATTCCTAGCTTCCAGTGGAAGACATGTCCACCCCCTGATTATTTTTTGCAGCAGGAAACTTTTAAATACTTTTTCACCTCCCTCTCCCATACTAAGATTGTGTGTGGCAGGGGGTTGTCCTTTGACTAACTCAAGTCATTTCATTGGATTTTGATTGCAACTGATCATGTGATCTTTCCATTTAAAGTGTTGGGGCTTCAAACTTTGCTTGGAGAATGTCTTTTGCAAAACTTTTCCGTAGCTGCCTGGAAACAACTGCTTAGGCATCAGTGGACATTGAAACTTTTCAAAATGTATAGAGAGTGGGCAGTGGTGAATATTCTCATGATGTTATATGTGTCCCTGCTTCAGGGCTTCAGTAATGAACATGGAGCGGTGAAGGTAGGTGATCTTTTTTTTATAACGTTTCTTTTTATTGTCTTTCACAGAAAAAGTCCTTTGCCCTCACTGTTCTTGAAACAGTATAAAAGACCTGCTTACTCTTAGCCTGCATGTATTAGCGACTGCTTTATTTCCTGAGATTAATAAGTTTCTTGCAGTGAGTGTTTGAAAATTTGTATGGCAATTATTTATGTATTGTGCGTGTTTGGAATAAGAATAAAAAATAGAACAGAAAATTTCATGACATGGAACTGGTTTGCTCCCATTTGTGCCTGCTGATGGCACAGTGTTTTTCTAATGAAGCTGTGAAGCTGTGATTTGTCTTTATGACACACACAATTTTGTGGGCCATTGGTTTATAGGTTGGCTTTGAGCAGCAAGGTTGAGTAATTTCTTCTGTAAATTTGAAAATCATGGTGTTTTTCATGGATGTTTTCTGTCTGGTTTTGCAAATTACCAATTGCATCCAGGAAAAAAATGATTTCTTAGAGTCTGCTTTTTGTTTTTGTGCTCTGCTTTTGATTCTATGAGCAAGCATCAAGGACAGCCCAAGAAGTTGAGAATGATGCAAAAAAAAAAAAAAAAAGATGCTACTGACTGCTAGAACATTTTCACTCAATGTTTTGTATTTTTGAAAAGGACTCAGATGTAATTATTTTGACTAGAGTGCTACTAAATAAATCATGACTGATTTAGAAATTTCTGGCTTCGAACAAACAGAAATCAGATGTGGGCTTGAGTTTTGTGATATGCATTTTGAATAGAGGGTCATATTGCCCCCCAGAGGGGAAAATTAATTCATGAGGATGTGAAGTATTTTATACGGGATGGAAGCACCATATTATGCATATAGTCCATAAACATGTAAGTATGCACCCAGGTTGGATAGTACAAGACTAGAAGTATCCTGGCACTGGGAATCCATTTAGTTTTCACCTTGTCACCTATACTCAAAAATGGATTTCCTTTCACCTATAGCCTGAGATGGAGATCCAACACCAAGGTTTGCAGTAGTCAGGTATTGCTGAGGACTGTCCTTTCTGCCATGTGTATTTTGGACTTGCAAAGCTTGAAAGGTTCAAGTCGCTACACAAGAAACCTTTCTCCCTCAGCATGATGCTGCGTGACATTTTGCTTAACACCAGTCTTCAGCCCAGTCAAGTTTTCAGTGTTTGGAATGTACTCTTTTATAGACTCAGCTACCAGAATCCTCTCTGTTGTCCTGGGCACAGTGAAGTTTCAAATTTACTGTTCCCACGGGTTTTTTTGTTTTGTTTTGTTTTGTTTTTCTGGAATGGGGCAGTGGGAAAAAAGTGACTGAATTTTTTTTTCGTGACAGAAAATATGCCCCAACAGATGGCAGATGTGCAGCCTGTGTTTACTAACATGCCTTTCAAATGGTTCTCCTTCATGCCGTACTTTCTTTTCCTTTAAAAGGGGAAGCACATACACCCAGCCTCCAGCTAAAGTAGATTGCTTCTTATATGAAGGAAAGTGTTGCCTGCAGTTAAGTAGAAGTGTGGGGATATACATGGCTGGGTGGTGAAACATAATGACGTACGTAATTTTGGTTTATATAGTCTCTTTCTCCTCCCACCTCTTTAAAGGACAGCAAAATCAAAGAAATCTATTTCTTAACCTTTGTGTTTTTCTTGTTTAAATTAAAATTTAGCCTAAAAACATATTCAGGGCAGTAGTGGTTTAAGACATTGACACTTGATTAGTTTTTTCCTTTAGCTATATAAGAATATGTCACTTGTTATATGAAATCATCATGGTCCTCCTCAGGACCGAGTCTATGAGAGCATCCTTTTCTCTATTCTCTTTTCTGGCCACATCTGTTCCAGAATGGCTGTGATGATGAATATATTTCCAGATTGAACCCTCCTCCTTATCTGAATTTTATTTCCTGCTTATTCAGGAAATTATTTTATTTCTCTCAGGAGAATTGACCTGCTTATTCAGCTTAGACAGGCAGTGATTATGGTACACGTCTATGAATTTATGGGCTCTTTTTTTCTACTATAATCATGCAAATTGCTATCAGCACCTAAGAAAATTGTGCTTAATGCCATTTGAGTGGAAGACATCTTAATTTTACTAGTCTTGAAGCTTATGCTTGGAAAACTAGCTGTTTGGGGTCAACAATGCTTGGAACATGTGAGCTGAGGCAAATCTTTTTGGAAACTGTAACAGTTTCTATGCAAAACAAATATCTAGAGTGATGGCTCAGTGGTTAAGAGCACTTCTTGCTCTTGCAGAAAACCTGAATTCAGTTCGCAGTTGCTCAAAACCATCCATAAGGCCAGTTCCAGGAGATCTGATGCCTTCTGATCTGAGAAGACACCAGGCACACATGTGGTGCACACATACACATTCAGAAAAATGCTCATACACATATATCAATAAATTTTTTAAAATTTATTTAAAAACATGTGCTTGATTCATTAATATAATTAGGTTGCTAATTAGCTGTGGGATTGATTTCAGTTTCTATTTTCTCAGGCTTTTTATACAGTTGAGATGAGCAGAGATAGTTTTCCAAGGTATGAACTTCACAACAGCCTATATTGTAGATCTAATCATAATATTGTATCCTCTAGACACTTAATAAATGATTACCAACAGCCTTATGCATTTGCTATTTACAATGGCATGAGTCTTGGCTGCTTTAATAAATAACTGTTGTCACCAGGTATGTTGGGAGTCATTGTAAGATGCTAGACTAAGTTAGCATCTATAAATCTTTTCCACAGCACCATGAGGACCTGTCAGCATAGCAATAGATGAACGATTCTAGGTCATGGTAGCTTTCAAAACTCTTTTGGAAGAATTTCTCTCTTCTTCACCTTTACTCTTCAGCTATACTATCTTTTTAGGCGCATCACTTGTAATGTCTGAAGAATGGTATTGTTAGATGATGGAGTCATTCAGTGCTACATAAGATTGGAATAAGTCCAAAATCCACCTGGCTCACAAAACTACTTAAACTTTGTGCCATTTTCCTTATTTTGAAATTTTCTAGGAAGTAACTTGCATGGAAAAGGCTGACAGGAACCTTCCATCTTTAATTCCAGAAAGTAAACCCACTCCTCTTACCTACCTCATTCTCACTCAAAAAGTCATATACATTGGAGTTTGCTGGCTTAGTTGTTATCCAGATGAACCAGTGAGTCCATTTTTCTGTCTTATCATGAATCCAATGGCAGCTTTTATATTATTCAAGCTGCAATTATTTATTATAATAATATAAATTATTTATATTATGGTACCCAGGATACACTAAAATCCTCCCTTACATCCTGTGTATAATAATTCCTTGTATGACTCATTTTTAATTGAAAGGTCCTGACTACACACCTGTGAATAAAATGTTATAAGCCTGTCACTAAGATAACTTGGGAAATAAAAACAATTGCATATGCAAATGAACCCATAAAGAACTCTTAGTAAAAAGGTCTGGAGCTGTCAGGCATGACTATTCCCACAGTTGGACAAAGGCAGTAGAGAAATAAGGACGGAAAGGACAATAAAATTGTTCCTGAGTAATATCTAAAGGCAACTCTTTTTATTTTTATTTTTTTAGAGACAAAGCTTCTTTGTGTAGCCTTGACTGTCCTGGACTAGTTTTGTAGACCAGGCTGGCCTCAAACTCACAGAGATCTGCCTGAATCTGCCTCCCATATTTTTGGTTTTTGTTTTGTTTTGTTTTGTTTTTGTGGTATCCTTGATCCCTGTGGCTTCTCCAATCCTTCCTTGCCCTCTTCTGAAGGATTTCACAAGCTCTGCCTAATGTTTAGCTGTGGGTCTCTGCATCTGTTTCCATCAGTTGCTGGATGACTTCTCTGACGACAATTATGCTAGGCTTGGTCTACAATTATAGCAGAGTATCATTAGGAATCATTTCATTGACATTTATTTATTTGTTGGTTGGTTTGTTTACACTTATTTATTTTTGCCAGCTGTGTTTGGTCCTATTCTAAGTCTCTGGACTATCCAGCCTTTGGTTCCTCACTCTCCAGGCAGTGTCAGGTGTCAGTCATTGGTTGGTTACCCCCACGAGTTCTGCACCACATTTACCCTAACACATCTTTCAGTCCGGACAAATTGTATGTGGAAGGTTTTGTGGTTAAGTTGCTGTCCCATTCCCTCCACTGGAAGCCTTGCCTGGTTACAGAAGATGGCCAGTTCAGGTTCTGTATCCCCTATTACTAGGCGTGTTAACTTGGGTCATTCTTGTAGATTCTCAGAGTTTCCATTGCACTAGGTTTCTACCTTGCCCCCAAACGGCTGGAGAGACTAGGCTCACAACCCCAAATACTATAATTTCTACAAGGTTTATTTCACCATTAGCTGGATCTTATTAAATAACCACAGCACTAACATGTTGGAGAAGAGTATTGCTCTTTGAAAAATTGACATTTAAATACAAATTATTTAAGGAGAGAGAAATAGAATGACAAATATTTTGGTGTTCTGTTGTGAGTGAAACTTTTTAAAAAGAGCATAATTTTGATTGAACGGATATCTTTTTATTTTATTTTATTTTATTTTATTTTATTTTATTTTATTTTATTTTATTTGTTCTTGGTGAATTTTATACCCTGAGTTTTAACTATATTCTCCCCTCTGTGAATTCCCCCCACATCCATCCCCCATTTTTACTCACCCAATTTTGTGTCTTCATTTTTTAACCAAAGTCCAATTTTGACTGTATATAGTTATGTATGTGTAAAACATCTAGACTGCACCCCCTCCTCCCAAGGCTCAGAAATAATTTTAGAGGAGGGGTGGAAAGAAAGACTATCAGGGCCAAACACAGTGATTTAATGGGTGATTTAGATTCAAGAGAACACACATGCACACACACACACACATACAGAGAGAGCAGGATAAAATCATGTAAGTAGATTCTGGAAAGGCATGCTTAATTCATAACTACTTTGCTGTAGCAAGGCTGGGAATCAATGGGCACAGTGGAAAAGAAGGTGATAGATAAA